TACAAAAACCTGTCGACTATTTGAGTCCAAGTTCCAAAACCCAGAACTGTTTCTGGTTTGGTAGAGTTCATTGACGTGTAAATAGAACCTATAGGATATAGTGTTTGAAGTATTTCTGTCTTTAATGTTTGAAGCTCTGTTTTGTCAGCTTTTTTATCTAACTCATCGTTAACATATGTTTTGTCAGCTTTTTTATCTAACTCATCGTTAACATATGTTTTGTCAGCTTTCTTATCATATAAATCTTGAGCAGTGAATTTAACATTGTTTTCATCCTCCATGACATAGACATTTCTACATTTAATGTCTTTCATCGTCGTTATGTCTTCATCCGATGTTAAACCTTGTGGAAAGTTAGGAGGTTTCCAATTTAATACATCCCCACCAGTTCCATCAGGTTCTTCAACCGTTCCTGCAATATTTTCTATACCAACAGTTGCGAAGAAATCGTGTGTATGTCCAACGTCACTTTTCTTGTTTAAGGTTTCTTGTAAGTTTGTAATATTTGCAATGGTATGTGTATGAGTCTTTTTAGAATATTCGTTTTCAGCTCTTGTCACTTCACTTGACATTTTATTGTCAACATATGTTTTGTCTGCTAGTTCAGGATGAGTATGTTCTTTCGTTGCATATGTTGCATCTGCTCTGTCATGTTCTTCTTGAACTTTTTCAATGACATACTCTTTGTCAGCTTTGTTGTCAACATCTGCTTTCAAAAGAAGTTCTTTTATAGGTTTCTCGTTTAAAGTTCCTTTTGTTGGATTTATACAAACAGTATGGTTCTTACTGTCTTGAAACAGAAACTCGTCTGTTAAAGGGTTTAATGTCAGTTTTAAGTTTCCTTCTTTCAATGACTCAGATATCTTAGAATAGTTTGAAAAGTTTGTTGTGTTCTTATTTAGAGCTTGCACAATGAGTTGTCGTTGTGTTGTATTTCTCTCATAGACGCTGTTTTCTTTCGACATTTTTATTCTAGATAAATATGCTTTCAATAGAAAAAGAAAATTCAAGAGTTGCTACAACTAAACCATTAGATGAACTTTTTACTAATGTCGGTCAAAAGTTTGAGACAGAGACCGTAAAGCATGAAGGCTATCGTTTTGACTACCCATTGAGATGGTTAAGAGACCCATCCGTCACAAAAAGCTGTTGGCTTTCGTAGAATGAAGTTCATTTCAGAGCCATACATGGTTTCCCATTTACGGTCGCTTTTGAGTTCGATACTATAACAAAGAAAAAACGTACGTATGAAAGAAATTTGAACAGGGAAAACTTTTACAAGTGAATTTGCTTGTAAACTTAGAAACAACTCTTCAAGCTTTTCAAGAAAAAATAAACGATATCTATCTCGAATATGCAAAACAGTACAACATTGACGAAGGAGAGTACCATCTCGATATTGTTTATGACAGGAAAAATGCAACTGTTAAAATCAATAGAATAGAAGACCTTGGAGAAGACGTTTATATTTCTACAAAATATAACAACTTGGCATGGTATAGATTTTTGAGGATGTTAAATCAGCCTGCAGAATATCCAGTACACCCGAACTTTTATGAAGTCGAAAACCCTAATGGAACATATGAAAATGTTTTCGACTCAGATGCTATTATAGTTCATGCTTCATTTTCTGGTGCACAAAACTCTTTTTTATGCTTGGCAAATGACTTTTACGAAAAACCTACAAAGCTATATGAACCACCGAGTGGAAGTATTTCAGACTTTCAAGTATGGTTTACTACAGATGGAAGAAAGAGAATAGTTCCATTATACCATGCGTTTTACTTAGAACTTAGTTTCATATACAACTACTATCGAACGGTAAAAATATAATTTTAATACGGTTGAGGTGTTGGATTTGGTTGCCAACTAGACTGTGGTGCAGGTTCAGGCTGTTGTATAACAGGAGCTTGTTCTTCTGGTTCAGGGTCTTTAGGTATAATACCAACGAACTGACCTACTCTTTTGCCAATATTTTTGACTCCGTTCCAAATTCCTCTTCCGACAGATTTTATTCCATTCCATATACCTCTTCCAACATTTCGAAAGAAGTTTCCTATTCTTCCAAAGAAACCCATTTTACTATATGTAAAAATCTAATGTCCACCTAGTCTCTTACGTTTCCTTCTGAGTTCCATAGCATTCTTTAACTGGAGCTCATACATTCTATTTCTCCTCTGGTAGAAAACATACTCTGGGTCAACTCCTGTGTTCGCGTCATCTGCATAGAGTTGTTTATATCCCACTTCGGGGTTTGTATAAAACTCTTTCCATCTCATATTTGCATACCATGGTGGCAAACCTAACGCAGCGTCATTTGACATGGCAGTTTGCATTTGTACATCTGTTGGCACTTGACCATAGTTTGCCATTGCAGTTTGTATTCTAACTTCATTTGGAATATTCTCTGGGTTTGGTTGTCCAGGTTGCTGTGCATTCGCTAAGTTCTGTGCGTCCATTTAATATTAGATAAAAAATATCTCTTACGAGTACATATGCTGAACATTTGCAGGCATTGGTTCATCTTCATATTCTCTATATCTTTCTGCCACGTCAAATAAGTAAATGACACAATGGAAAAAACCTAAAACAAGTAGTCCTATTTCAAACCACATTTACTTACTAGTAAAATTTCTTTGTTATGACACTTTCTCCAGTTTATAGGACCTCTCTCATATTCTATCTTATCGTATCTAAACTCATAGTCATGTATGTCCTCTAACCATCTCATGACACTTTCCAAACCACTTTTATCGGATGTAAAGTAAAAGCATGGATGGTTATGTAAAACGTCTAAAGTTTCTAAAGAGTCTCTCAAAGTCCAGTCTACTTGGTATTGAAAATCCCATGTGTTATAGAACGGCGGGTCCACTATAAAGAAAACATTTTCCTTGTCTTTATATTTTTCATACAACTCTGTCCAATGACATCTCACAAACTCTATACCCTCAATATATTTTTCTATGTTCTCTTTGAAAACATTTGTATAGTTAAGATATAAAACTTTTGACATAAGTGTTTCAATGTCATGAACTCTTATAGCACCACTATATAATAGTCTAGCAGATATACTATCCCAGTCAATATACTCTGCCTTTTTCAAAACCTCTCTGACAGTATTTTTCTTATCTAATGGTATACGTTCCATCTTACCTATAGGTATCTTTTCTTTTAACTCTTTCAATATTTTGTTTGTGTCTGGTATATGTTTGAGACGGTTCATATAGTTGTCGAAGTCATTGCATATAATCTTTGAGTTTGGGAATACGGTATGGCACAAATGAGATATATAGAAACTTCCACCGAACAAGTCTACAAATGTTAGACCATTCGGTAGTTTCTTAAGTTCTCTCAATAGAATATCTTTACATCTACTCTTATTTCCAAAGAAGGGTAACGGTGGTTTTGTAAAATTCATTTTATATACAATAAAAATGTTTTTTTCCTGAAAAGTGACAGAAAAGTGACAAAACATGAAAACTACTCGGTTAAGGTTTTTGACAGATGTTTTATTGTGACTTCTTCGTAAAGACTTTGTTGAGATTTCTTCGTAAATGACCCAAAAATATATTTTAGGGTAGAAGGGTATATCTAACCTCTTTTCTAACCTCTTTTCTACCCTCTTGAATTTTCATGAATTTCTTCGTAAAGACTTTGTTAAGACTTCTTCGTAAAGACTTTGTTGAGACTTCTTCGTAAAGACTTTGTTAAGACTTCTTCGTAAAGACTTTGTCAAGACTTCATCGTAAAGACTTTGTTGAGATTTCTTCGTAAATGACCCTAGTAGTATATTTTTGGTGTAAATTTCATGAAAATTCAAGAGGGTAGAAAAGAGGTTAGAAAAGAGGTTAGATATACCCTTCTACCCTAAAATATATTTTTGGTGTAAATTTCATGAAAATTCAAGAGGGTAGAAAAGAGGTTAGAAAAGAGGTTAGATATACCCTTCTACCCTAGTAGTATATTTTTGGGTCATTTACACTCATGAACTTTCTTGTCTATGTTTTGTTAAGATTTCTTCGTAAAGACTTTGTTGAGATTTCTTCGTAAAGACTTTGTCAAGACTTCATCGTAAAGACTTTGTCAAGACTTCTTCATAAAGACTTTGTCAAGACTTCTTCATAAAGACTTTGTCAAGACTTCATCGTAAAGACTTTGTCAAGACTTCTTCATAAAGACTTTGTCAAGACTTCTTCATAAAGACTTTGTCAAGACTTCTTCATAAAGACTTTGTCAAGACTTCTTCGTAAAGACTTTGTTGAGATTTCTTCGTAAATGTTTTGTCAAGACTTCTTCGTAAAGACTTTGTTGAGATTTCTTCGTAAATGTTTTGTCAAGACTTCATTTATACTAAACATCTTCGGGGCTAGAGGGCACGAAGTGCCTGGAAGCCCCACTACCTTTTTTTTTTTTTTTTTTTTTTTTTAATTGTTTATAAAACCCTAAATCGGTGATTTATAAATGCTGAAATTATTAAATTGCCACTAAGTGAAAAAGTGGAGAAATTTCAATTGCTTACAATATTTGAATTCTTAGTCAAAGGGATTTATTTAAGATGTGGTGTTACATATTTATATATCAGCTTTATCAGTTCATAAAATATTGTAATATTAAATAAATTTTTGTGAATAAAACAGATGAAATCAAATTAGCATTAAGACATTTCTTGACCAAATGCCATAGACACTTATCCATTTAAAGGGTTTAGTGAGAAAGTAAGTTTAGGGAAAGGAACATATCTGTTTGAATGTTATGGAGCACAAGGTGGAAATAATGATAAAGTTTCTGGTGGGAATGGATCATATATCTCAGGTGTTCTATATAATGATCAAAGTAATAAAGAATTCACTATTTCTGTTGGATGCAAAGGCTCTGACTTTATAATAAATACTGCAAATTCAAATTCAGGTGGTTTTCCAGATGGAGGATCTAGTGGAAGAAACAACTATAAAGTAAAAGAAGGTGGTAGTGCTGGAGGTGGTGGATCTAGCTCTATCTATATGGATAACATACCAATCATTGTTGCAGCAGGTGGATCAGGTGCTGCAGGCAACTGCCCAGGAGCTCCAGGAGGAAACCTTGATAATGCATACAAATATAAATCAGGAAATGTCTTAACAAGCGCAGATATTCCTCCTGATTCACAATGTGATACAACTGTTGAAATATATAGAAGTGAAATTCCACCAAGTGGCTATGGAGGTGGATATCCATGCGGAATAAAAGGTTATGGATCAACAATTTCACTTTCATATTTGGCTGTTTCAACAAGTGGGATGCCATATATCAACGAAAATAATATGAGACTTGTTTCTATGAGTGATGGAACTACATCATCCGGAAGAATCGGTAACGGCGAAATAAGAATTTCTATCTATTGCTCAGATGCAAATTGCGAAAATTGTGTTGAAAACAAAAACTATTGTTCTCATTGTAAAGAAGGTTACCGCGTGAATTCTAAAGGAACTTGTGAATATATCTGTGATGGTGTTATTCAAGATGATGTTTGCAAAGATAATTGTGATTCTGGATATTATGAAGATGAGAATAAAAAATGCATCAGACAGGAAGTTCAAATCAATATTCCAAAAACACGCCTTTTTAAAAGAAAAATACCAAGACTGAAGTTTTTCCTTATAAATTTGAAAACTCATGTAACTAGTAATAGGAATCATACCTTAACCTAACATTTTTGACGGCTTTTTGATGAAAAAATTATAATTGAAAACGCAAAACTCTTCTATTTGAAATGGTGAGGAGTGTAAATACAAATGGTGCATAAAGAATTAACTAAATCAAAAATATTGAGGTATTGGTGAAAATATTGAAAAGTTAATGATTGTTTAGAATGAAATCAATGTATTCACGGAAAAATTAAGGTGAATAAGCAAAAGCGATGATGAGTTCTTTCTTTTCAAGAAATAATAGAGCTTCAGGGGGTAAAGGTTCATATATCTCTGCTGTTATCTATAATGATAATAAAGATAATCAATTTCGTCTTTTGGTTGGTGGTAAAGGTACTGATTTTGTTGCAAATTCAGCGAATGGATTTCATTCAAATTCAGGGAGTTTTCCCGATGGTGGTGATAGCGGTGATTCTAGTTATGATCTTGGAAAATCAGGAAGTGCAGGTGGAGGAGGCTCCAGCTCAGTCATTTTTAACAATATATTAATTCTTTCTGCTGCAGGTGGTTCAGGTGCCTCAGGATCTTACAAAGGCGCACCTGGAGGAGACCTTCAACATGCATATAAATATGAATATGATCCGGGTGTTAAAGCTTATCTATTAAAACCAACTGACATTTCATGGAAATTACAATGCGAAAAAAGTTCAACAGAAAGATATACTAAATTTCCACCAAGTGGATTTGGAGGTGGCAATCCATGCGGAGATCGAGGTGAACCAGTAGATGCTATCGGTGACACATACAAATCTGTTTCAACAAGTGGAAGGTCTTTTTACAACCCAACTTTTATGAGACTTATACGTGTTCTTACTGGATCTCGTAATGGTAAAACAATTGAAAGTGGTTATATTAAAATCTCTAATTATTGTTCAGATAAAAATTGTTACAATTGCTATGAAAATCGAACTAATTGCACACTATGTAAAGAACGATATTCACCAAATTCAGAAGGAAAATGTGAATGCACAGGTGCTATTCAAGATGAAATTTGTCAAGAACAATGTAATAGTGGATACTTTCCAGATGAATCAAAAACATGCCAGAAATGTCCTAATCATTGTAAAACATGTAATTCACTCTCTAATTGTACTAAATGTGATAAAGGATATCATTTATCATCAGGCAATTGTAACTATTTGGCATCACAACCATATGATATTTATCAGATCTCTAATTTCAATAGAAAACTCATCGAAACTCGTGAAATAAACAATTTCTTTATTAATTCAATTTTTTACTTGCTATCCAATTTCTCCATCTTCCGATAATAATAAATGTTCTCTGACAGGGAAAAAGAACATATTTGGAATTGAATTTCGGCCATTTTTAGAATTCTTTTTGGTAACTTTTGAAGGATAGAGACTTTATAAATTCTTCCAATTTTGTTGCTGGCCTTCAGTCAATGAATGTTATCAATCAGCAGAAAATTGTATATTAACGGATCTCGTATGAAACTTGTGAAAGATAATCAAACAGCCGAATAATTTACTAAATTTTAACCTAATGCTTATTGGTCTGGTCTGGTTCTTGTATTTCGCTTTCAGTTGAAAAATTTTGTATTTCATTCTCACTCATACCGGAAGCATAACCGTAAATTATATATTTAATACTAATGAGTATAAATATTCATATCAAATAGCACATAAATTCTTCAACATTCTATTTATGGATATTTTTATTCATTTTTACATAATCTTGGTATTATGTTGACATATTTGGGTTTCACCACAAATCCGAACAAGGCCTTTTTAAGTTTAATGATGAAACAGTCTAAAATATGAATTCTACAAGAAGATCGATTAAACAGTATAAAATCACGATTATTTAAAATAGAATTTTCTTAATTGTATGATAACTCGTTCAACATGAAGTTTCAAAGTTTTTGATTTGTTTTAGATGTATTTGATGTGGTCAAAGGTAAAATGAATTTTGTCTTTACTCAATTTAAAATGATTAGAATCAAAAATTGATTGAAATTACATTCAGAAACATTTAACTTGCCACTGACATTTTGTTATGGATGAAGAATATAATAATATTAAGAAAATAAGTATAAAAAAACAAACATATTTAAAATAAGATACAAAAAGATATAAAATACATAAAATCATGGTTTTGAAGAATGAATCTTTTCTTGGCGTGTTGAAACACGTAAAACAAGTTTTGGAAGATTGAGAAGTTGTGGATTGACTTTTGTTGAAAAGTTGATGTTTCGTGACGTGTTTTGTTTTTGATTAGGAATTCTGTCGATTCTTGTAGTCGATTTATTTCGAATAAGATTGTCTTCTTGAATGTCTTTCTTAATGTTAACATTGTGAAGTTTGTAAATCAGTGGTTTCTTATCAATGTTTCGTTGTGATTTCAGCTGTGAAATTTCAAGTCGTTGTTTGTTATGAAGATTTTCAATTTCAATTCGATTTCGTTCTTCTTTCTTATGAACTGCGTTGTCAAATGCACGTTGCATGATTTCTCCTGCATTACGTTCTTCTTCACATCGAATGATATCAATAGTCTTCTGAAGTGATGATGCACTATCGAACTGGTTATGAATAACAAGATATTCGAGTTGTTTCATAAGAGAAAGTAAGCGAGCCGATGGACGATTGTACATTCGAACTTTGTGTTCGGATGACCACTCTGTTTCGAGATCTTTAAATTCTTCTTCATGTGTTTTAAGAAGTATTTCTTCTTGTTCTTTATGTTTATGTTCTAATTCTTTAAGCATCTCTTTCGTTTTCTTGTCAAATAATGTTATTTCTTCTTTAATGTTTTTAATACTTTCTTCTCGTCGCTTTTTCTTTTCATGCTCAATTTCTTGATGAATCTCGTTTCGTCGTTTGTTTTCAACATAGTTAATTGCACGTTGGATTTTCATACTTTCATCAAACTTTCGTTCATCTGAAAATGAATTTCGTTCTTCTTCTAATTTGTTAAGTAATGTATCGTATTCTTCTTGTGTAACTTTACTTGAAATCTTTCTCTTCATTGATTGTTCTTTCAATTCATTAATTCGTGTTTCATTGACTGTAGATTCATTTCGATAAACAACTTTTCGTCGTTTATGAACTCCCGGACGATGTTTTCCACTATTTTGTGTGTTTTCTGGTTCATGGATTGATTTGACTTCTGATTTATGAACCATGTTTGAAATTCGTTTTTTCAAATTGAATTCATTTGTATTTTTCGTTTCTTTTCTTGGTGGTTCTCTGATTTCGTGCATTTTAGATGTTTCTGGTTCACGAATTTCGCTCTCTGTAGTGAAAAATTTGGTTTCGATTTTATTTTTATCATTTATATTTGTATTTTGATTTGACTCGTTGTTTTTATCTATAGTTTCTGTAGATTTGTTCGTATCATCATCAATTTGTAAAATTTTTGGATCAATTTCTGTAATGTTTGGAGAATCGTGAATTTGTGGTGTCACATTGAGATTTTCATCATCAACATGATATGATACTGGTTTATTTTGGTTATTATCTTGTATTATTAATTTCGGAGGGTTATTTGTTGATTTTTCTTTTTCTTTCTGAGCAGATTTTCGTTTTCCCATCAAATTCTCTTTGTTCTCTTCTTCGTAAGAATATTCTTCCTCTTCATCTGAGTAATATTCATATTCATCAGAAAAATATGAGTAAGATGAATCGTTTTGCTTTGACTTTTTATTTGCATGTCCTTTGTCAGGCGTATTTCTCGTATTTACGCTTTTCTCCATTAAAAAATATTCTCACTAAAAAAATTTCAAACGTAAATTTTGTCACTTTTCATCAATCAAAAAAATAAAAATCTAAAATCTTTTGTCACTTTTACGGTAAATTTTTTATAAAATATGAAATCAAGAACAGATAATGACCTAAGTGCGCCATTAATGGCCGGTTTCACCAATTCAAATAATCTAGAATTGGTTGAATTTCCAGGATATACTTCATATCATGAAACAAAATGTTGCTGTTGTAAAAAATACACAATTCATCCGAGTCGTGAAGTATTCTTTGGCCATTGGAAATTCTCATGGTTTGCACCATTATCAGTACTTACACTAATCCTTTCAAGCTATATTTACAATTTAATTGTAATACTTTACAATTTACCAGACGTGCCCAAATTTATATGCGGTATTATTCTTTCTTTAATAATGATATTATATATTTGGAGTTATTTTTCAATTATTATTATCGGACCTGGTTATTTTCCTTTTTATTACTCAGGCATTGCATCAAAGAAGTTAACTACCCCATTCCCTCCAGGAGTTTCAGGTGTTAATGATAGTCCTGCAGGTTATATTTCGAATTCTGAACAGCATTTGTATGCAACTACTAATATCAAGCCAAATCGATCTATTCTTGCCAAATCAGCAAGAAGAATAATCATTAGACCAGATCATATGTGCGTATGGGCAGCTTCCTGGATTGGAAAACTTAATATGAAAAGTTTTATTTTATTTACAATGTATGGATTCATTTACTGCTTAGTTTTGGTTGGAATAACAATTGCAGGAGCAATTATACAAAGAAAATCCATTGTTAAACTCGTATTTAACATTTTATGGATTCTTGTTGGCTGCGGATTTGGTTATTGGCAATTTAGCTTGTCACTGCAATCGATTATTAATATGAGAAAAGGCAGAACAACGTGGGAAATTTGGAATAAAATTGATCCACTTAAATTTGATCGATCTGTTAAAGAAAACGTTGCAGATGTATTTGGAAAGAATCCTGGTTTGTTTGGATATATATTCCCAACAAATCCTTTCAAAGGTTTATCAAATCTCGAATTAGTCGAAAAATATGCAAACTACTATACTGCATAAGTTTATATCATCTTGTTTTGTATGTTACTAAAGTGTATATACTAATTAACTCCTATGTTTTACTAAAATTTAATGTGCCCCAAAATTAGCTAAAAAAATTTAGCAAATCGTGGAAAAAAGCTTTTTCAGCTGCTCCTAAGATTCTATGCACAAAAAACAAGTTCACACATAATCGCATAGTACCAGTCATTATAACCAATCAAGATCGAAGGTTAAAACTTTTGTTATAAATATAAATATTTTTACAATTTGGCAGTTCTGAGACAATTCTGGGGTTAGAACGCATTAAAATGAATGTTCTACCATGATCCCAGTATTATCTCTTCAAAATCGAAGCTAGAAAAATTATTTTTCCAAACGCTTGCATTCTATTACAAATTGATTTTATTATATCTCTGTTATACATAAACATATTTTAAACAATTACCTTGTTCTAACACAATAATTTTTAGATACTTCTTAAGAATTAGGCTTATACTTATAATTTATTGAGATATTTCTATTCCACATCAATCAAGATATGGATGACGATATTAAATGCATAGTTTCTATTAAAGATTACATTTGATTTATTTGAAATTAATTTTTTGATCATTATGTTTTTGTATTTTAATAAAAGAGTTAACAAGAACTATATTATTTGAATCTATTTTCATCTAAAACATCAGAATTTTGAAAGAATAATTTTATACAATACTTCAATAAGCATTGTAAGCACGATCATATCAAACCCATATATCTATGCATGCACATAATATTATATCTGCTGTGATCTAGTTCCTAAATGCATATATATTTTATTTGATATCGAATACTTACAAACATCCGGTTCAATCTAATATAGGAATATCTTTTAATTCATCAACAAAATTTAATTGTCGGCAACACTCTCCTGTATAATAAAGATACAATTAAAAATTATATATATAATACAAATCTAAGAACCATGAATCCCGAATAGCAATGTATAGTCAAACAAATGTTTTTTCATAAACACAATAAATATTATACTATCTTGATTTAAAATTATATTTTTGGCATTTGAAATTGAATCATTTTGAAATGTATAGATTCTGTTGCTTTTAATGGATGCATGATACATTATATGATGAGTATCAAGTAAATCTAAACTGGTTTATCAACAATTAATGGTAATGAAGAAAATCTGAAAAATAATTTAACATCAATAGGATATTTGGTGAAACAATTATTAAACAGAATTAAACTTAAGAATTCAACTATATTTATCATAAAAATATCTATGAAAATTTACTTTAATATGTTTCTAGATACATTTTCATGAAAATCCACGCTAAAACAGTCTAGCGTTATTTGAAGGTCCTACGAACAGGATCTCGACGGATATAATATTGAATACATGTGTAGATACATACATACGAAATACTAATAAAAATTATGCTTATTAAAAAATATGATAAAATATTTCTTCTAAAGTTTTTCTTTTATAGATTAATACATAATGTTAATCTATATTGTATATCATTTGATCATTCAAAAGGAATAATAATATCAAATTAAAATTAGATCATTGTTTTTTCTAAGTAAGAATGTCAAACATTGAAAACAATGTTTATTTTATATCATTCATAAACTAATTATACAATAAATATTTCCATTTATGCATCTTATTTTCTGCATTTAATAAGATCACAACATATTTGACTAAGATTAATAATTTAGTGTATTAAATCTATGTAAGTTCTGGGTATTTGTGATTCAGACACTTTTTCATGTAAATTGCGGATTATTACAAAGAATCTTATTATAATGTATTAACTTTTGAGATATTTTGAGGAATTATTTGTATATATCAATCATAATTAGGCATAAAATGAGATTTGTCATATAGATATCTATGAAAAATGACTTCAATATGTTTCTAGATACATTTTCATGAAAATCCACGCTAAAACAGTCTAGCGTTATCTGAAGGTCCTACGAACAGGATCTCGACGGATATAATATTTGATGCATGTGTGGATACATATACATGAAAATTTAATAAAACTCCCTCTGTTTCAAATATTGAAATATATTATCTATCATAAAAATCTTATATTACTTAATGTATTATGTTGTATGTTAACATTGACATTAGATATCAATATTTTGATATGATATCATTTTAATTAAAAAATAAATTTGAATACATTGTCAGCAAAGACTTTTGACTAATAAAATAATAAATACATTATTAAGTTAAAATTGATATTATAATATAATAAGAAGTTTGATGAAATATTTTATCATATTTTTTAATAAGCATAATTTTTATTAAGTTTTCATGTATATGTATCCACACATGCATCAAATATTATATCCGTCGAGATCCTGTTCGTAGGACCTTCAGATAACGCTAGACTGTTTTAGCGTGGATTTTCATGAAAATGCATTAAGGAAAAAATATACCGATCTGGTTTTGAACCTTCAACCTCTACGACAAAAAAACGGTTCCACGCTAAAATAAAATCCACGCTAAAAACCCCCCGTACTGTTTTTTGAGAGAAAATAACCGTTTTTAGCTGGCAGATTTTTATATGAACAAGCAGGGGATATTAAGAATTTTGAATTGAAACTGCATAAACAAAATCGATTGTATCTAATAAGGATGCTAAAAGTGGGGAACGATAAGGAAATTGAGAGCTCCCCCCCCTCCCGGTGAATCCCCACAGTGGGGAAAACAAAAATAAAAAACTAGGTTTTTTTAGTCATTTTATTTTTTTGGAAGGAAAAAATGAAGAAAAAGCGCAATTTATACGAGTTAAATATAAGTATTTTAGCTATTCTAGCTATATACTATGTTTTTTCCTAATTTTAATTTTCTCCGCTTCGCGGAAATATTTTTGGATCCCCACTTTTGCAAAAGTGGGGAAATTCAATTTTTTGAGAGAATTGTGGGAAAACCGTTCCCCTTCACTTTGGGTTATGCAAAAACTAGCATTCTGTAATTGATAGAGCCGCAAGAGTATCACTTTGACCGAGGGGGAACTTATCCCCGGAGGTTTGGTGCGGTCAAAAACGATCTTCTAGTTGGACGCATATAATTTTCAAATTCTGAATTTGCGGTCCATGATTCAAATATCATAATAGTCAGCTTAGCAAAAATAAATCACACGTTTTTTGTCTCACGATAGCTTCATTTTATTTATTTTCAATACAAAATCCTTAAAAAAATACTAAACAGCTATGATTATATTCAAATATATAAACAACATTTACTAATTCTTCATGTATTTTGCGCTCTCATCTAAAATTTGGCTTAATGTCATAGAATTTGGGACTTTCTTATGAGTAATGGTATTAAGTTTTTACTAAGCAGACATTTACAAAGCTAAAATTATTTATTTTCAATCTAATGCTTGATCTTTTACCTATAAAAATTCGATAATGAGTGATTTTTTCTTTTTTTAGTCAAAATACAAGTATGAATCTGTAATAAAATTTCATGGTCATATGAACGATGATAAAGTTATAAGCCAAAAGAGTGATAAAAGTGTAAAATTAAATTTTATAAGTCTAGTATAGCTCTGAGAATACTTTATCGAAAGTACTCGAGAGCTAAACAAAATTGGCGTTAAGATTAAGGAAACGATGCCCAAATTTTGGCGAATTAAAATATAGATAATGAAATAAACTTGTTGTACGCTAAATTTATAATGAGACGTCTTTGTTAATGTCTGCTATGTCAAGATATCCAAGTGGATCTGATGGTATATATAGCAGGAATGCATTTTAATTTATAGTTAAAACCGTTTTTATCGTTTTTATTTCATATCACATGACTGTACCTCCAATAAATTTTTTCCCCGTCGATTTGTAAAGTTCCCCACTTTTAGCATCCTTATATCTAATGAGATTTATGATTAAACAAGGCATAGTGAAGGAAAAGTGACAAAACTTTAGATTTTTGTCAATTTTTTTGTCATAAAATGTTATGGTTTTTGCTCGATGAATGTTTACCATTGCATCTATCCATCAATGAAAATTAATACGATGGTGATTCTCAAGATGATGGATATAAAAGGATTCAGTAAACTCAATTCATATCATTTCAGGAACAAATGAATTTGGATTCTTTTCGGAATGATGAATTTTTTACAATTTGAGTAACGACTAAATTTGTAACACTAAAAAATCGAACATAAGTTTTACTCATATTCCAATGTAAAGCATAATTGCAATTTTTTTTTTTTGAAAAATGCAGAAGAGAAGAAAAGAGCCAATTTTTTTATCGTTTACTAATCAACAGTGTAGGTGTTAAATACTTAACAAAAAGAAAATTTTTGCATATGGATAATGAACAAATTTTATTTTCTTTGTTTGGTAACACTAATAATACTATTTCAAAGTTGCCTTCACATGGACTCAAATCAATGAACTTTAAATTATTCTTAAATGAACTTTCTCCTCTTTCTGATGTATCAACATTTCCAATAGATGAATAAGAATCAATACTACATTGATGGATATAAATTTGTCCATCACCGTCTGTTCTAAATAACTTTCCTTTGTTAAACTGAGGATTGTTTTGAAAAGTTGAATAGAAAATATCAAGTCTACCATCGTAAACATAAACTATCCCAAAATATTCTTCATCTTGAGAATTATTTACATAATTGCATCGGTATATTCTTCCTGGAGAAAAAGAAAACGTAGTAATCAATCTGCTAGCTGCTTTTAAATTCTCAAAATTACAAAATGAAATATTTAATGTTGGTTCAACTTCAACATATTCAAAACCTGCATTTTGTCTTGAAATACAGTTAGAAATGTTTGTCTTTGAAAGTGATCCAAAACCTTTTTTCTGGTAAATCATACAATATACTGAATTATCTCCTCCATTACAAATTGATCCTTGGAGGATTGTACTGTTGATTTCGCCTTTGAAATAAGTAAATTGGCCTTCTGAGGAATGAGATTGGCTTTCAAATGAACAAAATTTATCAATAATAATAGCATTACTATGAATACTTTGAATATGTACTGTACCTGGACCGCGTAAAGTAACAGTTTCGTAAAGTAAAATCGAGAAATCAATTGTTTGTTCGAATTGAACTGCTATATCTTGTAGGTTGATGAATTTGCAGATGTATGCAAAGCATTTGTTATCTGTTGCTGTGACTTGTTGAACTTCACCTGTAAAGATTGAAGAAGGAGGATTAATTCCTTCATAATAAAGATGCCAAATACTATTTGTAACTTCTTCGCCATGAACATATTTCTTCAAAATAACTAATTTGAACTTGGAAAAGAGTCAAAAAGACAATAATTAATTTAAAAAATAAAGTGGGGGTAACACTAAAATAATATAGTGCTCCCAAATTGATTAAAAATACTGAGTAAATACATGCGATTGCAAAATATATATCATTTTCCGATATTAAATCTCATAAAAATTATTTTCTATTTTGATTTTTTCCCAATTCAATTTTTGTCAAAAACGATGAATCAAGAAGTGAAATTCTTAGGAATTGCCCACACTTCTTTTAAAACAGTACCAGAAGTACCAAGATGCGCAAAAGATTGTACAGAAGAGAGTACGGTCACTTTTTATCCAGAATATTCTGATTGTTTAGTTGGTTTAGAAAATTTTTCTCATGTTTTTGTTTTCGCATGGATGCATCAATCGGACCGCGATTTACAACTTGTTAGACCACATTTCGGAGCAGCAAAGAAAGATATTGGCGTTTTTGCAACTAGATCTCCAGCAAGACCAAATCCAATTGGCATGACTCTTGTTAAGGTCAACAAAATAGAAGGAATTACGCTTTATGTTACAGGTCTCGATCTTTTAGATGGAACGCCTATTATTGATATCAAGAAATACGATACCACACTTGATACTCCCGATATGTAATTCTTAGTTTTACTATCCAAATAAAGTTTATATCCTCTATATGATTTCATACTTGCTTGAAAAGATTTTTTTCTTTCATATCAACCAAATAAGTTAATATGACTAATGAAAACAAATTCTCATCAAAATTTATGTAATAAGCAAGCAATTATATTAGCAAAATTTGAAAATAGGAATGAAAATTTCTCAGATTTTGGTAAAATGAATACAAGATTAGGAAATTATATATGTTAGAATGAGGATAAACTAATTCTCATATGTAATAAGTGATTTAATTGATTTTTATCTTGATTGAAATTATCAAAAGTGACAATAAATTGAGATTGCGGTTTATCCAAGAGAAAAAAAAAATTTTAAAAATGATCTTTGGCTTAGTTTATAGTTCCTTTTCAGCACCACGCTGGCCTTCATCATATACATTAAAGGGAACCTGGAAAGTTCCATATACAAACTTGAGCAATCACCTTGTCGTTGTTCAAGAACCAACTCGTCAGTATATCAACGAGCATAATGGCTTATTACAAATCTGGAACACTGGCCCAGAGCAGCATTTCCATCGTAAAATTGTTGCAGCTGATAATGACACGATTTGCTTCGGCTGGGATGATGATCAACCATGGACAATCGATTTTACAGAGTTTTTACCAGATCTTTCAGAATACAAATTACAAGATGGCACATATACATACAATGGACACCTTTGCAACATGTGGAGCAAAGTTATTAATGGTCCAAAGACTCAGACATGGGAAATGTACATAGAAGTCGGTACAGGCAAGCCAATTGCTTATAAGGCTCATGCTATTTCAATTTATCACTCACATTACGACGTTTATATCCTTGAAATTGATGAATTCGCTCCAGAAGCTGCTGTAGGTGTTTGGAGCATCCCAAGCATCTGCGACAATCCAAAGCAAAACGATCCATACCCAGGCTCGATGTACGATCTCTTCTTCCCCAAGAAAAACGTAAATACCTACGCAAATCAAGTCAAATCGACAAAATCATACCAGACAACTACACAAAACAGATTCTCACACATGACACCATCCGACTGGCTCAAATCCATCAAGCGATCTACAAATGCCAAACCATGGTACGATGATGAAGATCCATTATGGGATCAGTGCACATTATTCAAGGGCAGCAAGGATTTCGTACCTCCTGAGAGCTTCTCATGGCGCGATCAGCCCAATATTGTCACTCCTCCAAGAGATCAAGTCGCATGCGGATCATGCTGGGCCTTTGGAACAGCCGGACTCCTTGAATCAGCCTTTGCCATCAAGACAGGCAAGTTACGTCCGGTTTCTACGAACCAAATCATGGATTGCAGTTGGGATGCCAGAAATTACGGTTGCCAGGGCGGTGAAATTGGTCCATCCTTAACCTCCTTCATGAATAAGTCCATGAAGATCGCTACAGAGAAGTCATATCCGTACATGGGAGTATCCGGACTTTGTAATTCGAAGCCAGAGGAGTATCTCGGCCGCGTTAAGAGTTGTTTCCACGTGGAGAAGAAGAGGAACGCTGTTAAAGAGGCTTTGTACAAGTTCGGACCATTGGGAATTTCGATTAATGTAATTGAAGACATGGCTCTGTACACAGGCGGTGTTTTCGACGAAGAAGAGTGCACTGGCGCTGATGATGACTTGGTCCACATCGTTCAGTTGACAGGATGGAGAGTTATTGACGGAAAAGAAGCTTGGGAAGTCAAAAACTCTTGGTCTACAAACTGGGGTGATGAAGGATACATTTATATACAGTCTGAAGTACAGGAGAAGAACTGTGGTGTAACATCTAGAGCTGTTGGTGTAATTGTTGAATAATTTTTTAATTTTTTTAAATGGCAATACTTTTTTATTGCCATTTTTATTCAATATCTCAATAAATAAGTATATTTTATTTTATTTCATTTTTTTTACTTCTCAATTTTTTCCGAGAGTTCTATCAATTTTTCATTAAGATATTTTTCCGAAATCAACCTCATTAAGAGATCTAGATATTTCATAAAAATCTGGAAAGGTTTGAATTGAAAATTTTCATAAAATATAAATTCCAAAAATTTTCAAATAGGACTGAATCACTGGATCCATTGGAATTATAAAAAGGATTGTACAGGGAAGAAAAATTCATCGTGAAGATCATAATAGTATTTGGTTTCATTATTATGCGGGAATTAGCCCTCCATCTGAAGTTTTTCAGGGTAAAAACCTGAATGTCACAGCAAACAAGAGCAGGTGTTTCATATACATATGTATATTCACTAATATACAAGACAGAGCCATCAATTTCGAATCTATTTCAGATCTTTCGGTTTTACTTTGCGAAAACGTTTTCACCAATGGTCCAGGTACAATTTATTTATCTAGTTCTAATAAAAATAGCATTATTGTTGATAAATTTTGTTCATTTGAAAGTAAAACTTCAGATAAGGGCCACTTTACTTATTTCAAAGGCAATATCCACAGTAGAATCCTCCAAGGATCAATTTTTAATGGAGGAAATAGCTCTGCAGATCAAGGAATGATTCACAGTGAAAATGGTCTTTCATCTCTTTCGAACACAAATATTACTAACTGCATAGCCAAATTTTCCTCTGCTTTTTGGTTTTATTCTGTTCAATCAACAACAAAAGTTTCATTTTGTAATTTTGAAAATTTAGAAGCAATATATCAAATTATCACTCGGTTTTCTCTTTGTAATGGAAAAATTGAAAGGTGTAATTATATAAATAATTCTCAACGAAATCTAGATGATGGATTGGTTTATATTCACTATCATAGACTTGATATTTTGGATTCAGTTTTCAAAAACAATCGAATGAATAACCGTGGATCGTTATTTTATGCATATGATGGAGGAAAGCTTTATATATTTCGATGTAATGTTGATAGTTATTCAGCTTCGAGTTTATTTGATGGAATTGTTGATAATTCAAGTATATCAACTGTTTCATTTTCTAATAACTTAAAGTTCGATGGATTGATATTATGTGAAGGAGATATTATAATATTTTATCCACGAATCAAAGAAAAGAATATATGTTCATTATGTTCCTGCAGATATTTCTTGTTTAGAAAATATTTTGTATCTTTTTTGTTAACAAGTAAAAAGTAAAAATAATAAAGCTATTATGTTAAAAGTGCATCATTTTCTGACATGCCCTCAATTTTTGACATCTCAAATTTTATGTCAAAACCTTTTTTGCCATTCCTCCTTTCAAATATACGCCTGTAACTGGCACAAATTTGTTCAATTGTGCCGGTTTGCAAAACCCTACTTAGTAAGAACAGTTTATAAGTTCAAAATGATTCTCCGAATTTGGTAATAGTAGAAGAGCTATAGAATGAATATTTCGGAATTTAGACTCGAAAACATAAAATGGAATAAAAGTAATAAGCAATAATTATCATTTACTAATTAATTGAAGAAAATCAGGAGGAATATGAAATAGAGTGAGGTCTTCTTCTGAAAGTGAAAGTTTTTCATATCAATAAGAAAGTAATAAATCAATGATTGATTTGTTTTGACGAACAGCTGCCCAAAATAATGCATTTTGAATGAAGTCGTTCGATATTTGATGAATTGGAACTTTGTGTTCAATAAGGATTTGAACAATTTCTGTGTTGTTCTGTTTCGTTGCATGAAGATAATAATCTGGGATGATAGATTCACGTGATTGTGGACCATTAGATTGTTTGAGATTGATAGTTCTTGGAGTGAAATATCCATCAAGTAATTTATATTTTTCCATGAATTCGAGAAGTAATCGAACACATTCTGAAGAATTCATTTTAATTGATTTAATAAGCCAATTATCATATTCATCCGGAATATTTTCATAATAATCTTCACAATGAAAATCAAGATTTTTCAAGATATAAATGCAAACACTTTCATTTTCAACCTGTAAAGATTTTGACAAGCAGGTAAGAATTCCATATGAATTTAAAATGTCAAGTGAGTGATTTTTCATGAAATAAAGAAATCCAGAGAGTTTTTCGTCGTTATTAATTAACAATTCAAGATTTTCTGTAATGAATTCTTCATCGGAATGGTCAATCAAAAAATATAATGATCGAAAATCACTACATAATTTTAATGTACTTAACATGATTCGTGCACCATGTTCAACAAGAACCTTAACAATTTCGAAATTGCCATTCATAGAATGATAATCAAGAAGTGTTTTACAATTATCGCTTCCTACTGCTAAAGATTTGCCACCATTTTCTAAAATGAGTTGATATGCTTCAATGATATCATGTTTTGCTTCATCCATAACATTGTAATAATTGTATTTTGGATTATTACCTAATTCATATTCATCATCATTATCTTCTTCTTCTTTGGATGGCTTTTTATGGTAATAATAAGCAACCCATGAGCCTTTTTTCCTATATTTCAATTCTTCTTTCAGTTCTTTTCTGAATAAAATAACTTTTTTGTCAAGAAGATATTTAATTAAATCAATATGTCCATTTAAAAATGCAAATTTCATGAGATAAAAGCCATTATTTTCTTTTAGATCAACTTCATTGTTTTTCTGGCTTAAAGTCATAAAGATGTTCATTGCTTGTAAAGAATGAATTAAATAATTTTACATTGAAAATTTGGAAATGATCAAATATGTATTTCATCTCTTCAAGGCCACAATATTTCAAAACAAAATTTATCTTTGGAAAAAAGATCTTTCGTTCTAAGAAAAATTTCATTAAATCCATATTCTGTAAAACTTTCTGTATTTCTTCGCGCGAAATTTCAAAGCGAGTTGATGGGTTTCGTTGAGTTAATTGATAAACCTTTTCATAAATTTCAAGATCATGATTATTTTGACAAACTAAATATGATAAAGGATGCATGAAATATTGATCACAATATCTTAATCCTAAATCATACAAAATGTTGAAATAATCATATCTTTCGTTCATTAAACAATCAGAGATAATTGATTTGTATGAGTCTTCTTGCCCTGAATATAAATGTCTATTTGGCTCTGCTGTTATCAAATTGTATTTAACCATGTATTCAAGAATTGTTTTGAATTTTGATTCATAATAAACAAAAATTAAATTATAATAATCTAAACAAAGATTGTTTTCTAAACAGAATAGAATGGATTTAATATTTGATAACTTGACTATTCTAACTTTTTTTGTTGATAATTTTCAAGAAGCCATGTAATTAAATCTGAATTTCGTGATTTAAATGCATCTGATAAACAGCTATCATATTTAATACCCTTTTGTTCAAATAATCGTATAATCTCAAGGTTTCCTGTTGAAATGACTTTATATGGTAAAATAAATTTAGAATACACGTCTTCGTTCATGAATTCGTCAAATTTGTTGCTAATAAGTAAATATTTGATAATGTTAATTGATGGTTTATCGAATAATGATTTGAAATAAGATTTTTGTTTGAAAATATCATAATATTGTTGAAATTTTGAAACATCATCATTAGGTATGATTTGTCTTAATTCTTCTATTGGTTCTCATTCTAATATTCTTAGAGTATTGTAGCTTTTTTCAAGTTTAGGAGGAATAATAACAGTTATTCCAGTGTTAGTTGCTGTAAAATAGATTTTTGCAGTCTTTGTTCTGATTATCGGATGGAAAATATTGTTGAGAGTTCGAAGTATTTGAAAATGCAAGTTATCAGAATTTGATTCAATTTCTTTGCCATCGATAAACAATTCGAGCAGGTATTTGAAATTGTCTTCCTGTGTTTCACCAGGACCATCTGTAATGAAATTTTGATAGAAATTGACTGTTTCTTCAAAATTTTCTGAGTTTAAGTTAAAGTAATGAGTTTCTTCTTTATACAAAAGTTGAAATGGTTCTGGGATAACAACATCATTGATGTTTTTAATCTTTAAATCTTCATAAACAATGTCATCATTTCCCATTTCGAAATTTTTGTGGCACATAGAAAAAAATTCATAACATATAAATAATAGACTAACAAACTATTTTCATCTGGATTGCACTCTATTGGCTTTCAAATAATATTCTTAATCGGGAATTAGTGGAATAAAGATAATTCTAAAAGATTTTATTAGGTTCTTTGTTCCAAAATTTGAAATTTATAATAAGATTTTATAACTAGGACAAATTAATTTTATAATAGAGTGAGATCTTCTTCTGAAAGAGAAAGTTTTTCATATCCATAGAGAAATAATTCGTTTATAATTGCTTATTTTGAATACTTTTATAAAGGAAAAGTTTTTCATTATTTGAAAGAAATAATTAAATTTTATTTATTAATTAACTTAATTAGATCTGGATTAGCATTGAATGACTTGATGTCTTCTTCTTGAACATCAATCTTTCTATAGCCATATTCAAGTAGTAAATTGATTACATCAGCATTACCACGAACAGCGGCCCAAAATAATGCATTGTTGAAGAAGTCTTCAGAATGTTCAATAAGTAACCTTACAACTACTGTGTTATTCTGTTTCGCAGCACGAAGATAATAATCTGGAACAACAAGACGTGATCGATCATAACCGGTTTTAAAGATATAGATATCTGCAGGCTCAAAGAAATGTTCAACCATTCGACTCTTTTCCATGACATCTAAAAGCATTCAGACCAATTCTGTTGAATTCATTTCTACTGCATTAACAATCCAATGTTCATTTTCATCTGGGAAATAATCAAGGTCATCTTTGTCTTTAATCTCAATATTTCTCAAGATATAAATACAAACACTTTCATTTTTGACTAACAATGCTTTCGACAAACAATTTATAACATCGTACATGGAGATATCTTTTAATGGATGTGTCTCCAGGTAATAAAAGAAACCTGATGGACGGCCATCTCTATTAATAATAACTTCAAGATTGTTTGAAAGTCAGTTCGTTTTCGCGTTATCAATTAAGCAGTAAAAAGAATTATAATCTTTGCATTTTTCGAATGTTGTTTCTGTGATTTTCGCACCATGTTCAGCAAGAATTTTAACAATTTCAAAGTGTCCTTCATAAGCATGATAATCAAGAATTGTTTTAAAACCATCTTTTCCACGTGCATTTGCATTACCGCCATTTTCTAAAATGAGTTCAAAAGCTTCAATATTAGTGTGAATTGAATTATCCATAACATTGTAAAAAATAAATTTTGGATCATCAAACTCCTCATCGTAATTTTCTTCTTTACTTTCTTGTCCATAATATCTATTCCAATTATATCTTTTGTTGAAATCATAAAAGTCATTTTTATCTTTGCAAGTTAACATTACGTATTTATCAAGAAGGAATTTCATTAATTCAATATGTGCGTGATAAAATGCATTCTTCATTAAATTAAATCCGTTCTTATCTTCTAATTTAACTTGATAATTTCTAATGATATAAAATATCAATTCTGACTTAAAACAAAGGTTTCCTCTATCAGCAAAAATTTCGTTAAACTTCTTTAGATGGAAACTTTGATCAAATACATATTTCATTTCTTCAACACCACAATATACCATAATATCTTCTAACTGCGGATCATATATTTTCCGTTCTACGAAAAACTTCAACAAATCCATATTTGATAAAATTTTTGGAAATGCATAATCTAATAATTCAAAACGGGCATGTGAGCTTCTTTGCGTCATTTGATAAACCTTTTCATAAAGATCAAGATCAGAAACATCATAATAAACCAAATATGATAAAGGGTTTTGGAAATTACCATTAAAATAACATAATCCTAAATCAAATAAAATGTTGAAATAATCATATCTTTCGTTTTGTAAACAATCGGCAATAATTGATCTGTTTGCATCTGCTTTATCCAGTGATATATCATGTTCTACTTGTAATAAACCATCATTGTATTTAACCATGTATTCAAGAATTGTTTTGAATTTTGATTCATAATAAACAAATATTAAATTATAATAATCTAAACAAAGATTGTTTTCTAAACAGAATAGAATGGATTTAATATTTGATAACCTGACTCTATTAACCTTTTTTGTTGATAATTTTCAAGAAGCCATGTAATTAAATCTGAATTTCGTGATTTAAACGCATCTGATAAACAGCTATCATATTTAATGCCCTTTTGTTCAAATAATCGTATGATTTCAAGATTTCCTGATTTAATAGCATTACAATAAAAATCTATTAATTCAAATCTGGAAAATTTCGTTAAATCGTCAAAATCGTTGTTAATAAGTAAATATTTGATAATGTTAATTGATGGTTTGTCAAATAACATTGGCAGAAACCTGTAATAATAAATTGGTTCGGATTTGTCAAAATGTTGCTGAAATTTTGATACATCATCACTAAGTATGATTTGTTTTGACTCGGATGGTGGTTTTCGTTCCCTCATTTCTGGTTTTGGATACTTTTCTGCAACTTTAGGGGGAAATTCAACATTTATTCCAGCACAAACTGCCATATCATAGAATTCTATACCTTTTGCTTTGATAGTTGGTTTAAAAATATTATTGAGAGTTTGTATCATTTGAAAATGTAAATTATCTGTATACGTTTCAATTAATTCGCCATCAGTGAACAATTCGAGTAGGTATTTGAAATTGTCTTCCTGTGTTTCACCAGGACCATCTGTAATGAATTTTTGATAGAACTTGACTGTATCTTCAAAATTTTCTAAGTTTAGGTTAAAGTAATGTGTTTCTGCTTCATACAAAAGTTGAAATGGTTCTGGAATAACAACATCATTGAAGTTTTTGATCTTTAAATCTTCATAAACAATTTGATCATCTTTTTCCATTCTGAACATTTGTTTTTTTGGAGGAATTTTCTATATAACTTTGATCAGTTACTAGTATTTATTACAAATATATATATATTTTATAATCAAACCAAAGATTTTTAAATAAGAATTTCAATATCAAAATTCTTATTGTTAGTAAAGATTAAATACTCATTGTTTAATAAATTCCCTCATTTTTCCAGCAAAATTTTGTTATTCAATTAAAAAATATTAATGAATATGCCTTTTTACATTAATTATCCTTAGAAGAGGCCCGTATGATTTTGTATGGTACATAACCCTAATTCTGAAGATATTCAGCTACTGAATTATATTCATTTCTTTTTGCCCAAGTGAATGCGGTATCTCCACTTTTATCTTTAGCTTCTTTATCGGCCCCAACTGAGATAAGATATTGAACAACATCTATATGGCCATCTATTGATGCCCAGATGAGTGGAGTATTTCCGTCATTATCCTTTCCTTCTTTATCGGCCCCAACTGAGATAAGATATTGAACAACATCTATATGGCCATTTTGTGATGCCAAGATGAGTGGAGTTTTTCCGTCATTATCCTTTCCTTCTTTATTGGCCCCTGCAGAGATAAGGCATTTAACAATTTCAAGAAAGCCATAATATGATGCATTCATGAGTGGAGAGATTCCATCCTCGTTCTTAGCGTTTATATTAACTTCAACAGAGATTAGATATTTAGCACTTTCAAGATGGCCTCTCGCTGAAGCCATAGCGAGTGGAGTCGTCCCATAATAGTTTTTTGCTTCTTTATCGGCTCCTTCAGAGATGAGATATAGGGTGTCCAAAGGTGCGTTTAGCACAGCGCTCTATATGAGACTATTAAAGGAGATATATGCTGATTATAAATATATAATAAAAAATATGAATATATGTATATGATGAGTATGTTGTATTTTGGCGCCATGCCGGGATATAAAATGAATTTTGAGACAAGAGGCGGTTTCGCGGGAAATTTTGGCGGGATTTTTTTCATTTTTTTAATGAATCATAAAGAAAACATCCTCGCTCTTGCCAAAAAATGCAAAGACTGTAAAAAAATCTACGAGACATTGGTAAAATGCTTCGGTATGGATGCTCCTAGCTATTCCACTGTAACGTATCATGTTAGGATGTATCACTTCATGAACAAAAAGGCGCCCATCATAAAAATTGACAAAAAATCGCCGGATCAAAGAAAAATCAAAGCAATTCTTCAAGCGCTAGATGAAGACCCAAGAGCATCACTCAGAAGGATAGAGGAGATGACAAAGATACCACGTACAACAGTCAGTTATTATCTGCACAATTATTTGAACTACAAACTAGCGTATACACGTTGGGTTCCGCACAACCTTAATTCAGTTCAAAAAAAATCTAGAGTCCAATCTTCGAAAGAGCTCCTCTCTATATTGGGTGCGTATCAATCCAAGAAGTTTCGCTTTTTAGTAACAGGGGACGAGTCTTGGTTTCAAAATGCAACAGAAGCCAAAATCATGTGGATCCCGAAGGATGAAAATCCGCAAACATTCCCGAAGAAAAAAATTGACACACCAATGATTATGTTGTCGGTTTTTTGGGGCGTGAATGACATCATCGCAATTGATATTCTTCAAAAACCTAATACGATGAATTCTCAGTATCTAATTGACAATGTTCTTACTCAAATTATCAATTCTGATGGGTTTGAGAAATCCAAATAACAAAAACAAAAGTTTGCAATTCATTTTGATAATTCAAGAGTTCACAAAAGTCATAAGGTAATGAATTACTTGGTGGAAAACAATGTCAAAGTTGTTCCAAACCCAATTTATTCACCTGATATTGCACCCTCTGACTTTTATTTATTCGGCACGCTAAAAAAAGAGAGCTGAAGGACGCGAATTCGCGAGTCCAGATGATCTTGAAAATTTTGTAAGAGAGCAATTTGAGCAATTTTCTCATGATGATTTAAAGCGTGTCTTTCGAGCCTGGATCGATCGCTGCGAACGCGTGATTGAATCCAATGGTGATTATATTTAAATAAACTTTATATATATGTAACTTGTTTATTTCTATTCGCAGTATTCAGGTTTGTGCTTCTTATATACGAAAAAAAGAGATCTGACATTGTGTCAGATCTCAGTAAAAGTGACATTTACATGTCAAAAAAATAGAATGAGTTTAAGTAATTAAAATTGAGGGTGAGAGTAGTATTGTATGAAATAATATCTCTCACCCTCCAATTCATCCTATGGCGCCGAAAAAATTTTGGTGAAATGCGACCACATTTCACCAAAATTTCTCGGCGCCATATAGAGAACTAGAGCCTGTGAGGTACTGATACTATCCATGTACCTCGCAGGCTCTAGTTCCAAGCCAAAATGGCTAAAAATTGCCCGCAATTGTTCACATTGCGGGCAATTTTTAGCCATTTTGGCTGGGAATTGGAGGGTGAGAGTAGTATTGTATGAAATAATATCTCTCACCCTCCAATTCATCCTATGGCGCCGAAAAAATTTTGGTGAAATGCGACCACATTTCACCAAAATTTCTCGGCGCCATATAGAGAACTAGAGCCTGTGAGGTACTGATACTATCCATGTACCTCGCAGGCTCTAGTTCCAAGCCAAAATGGCTAAAAATTGCCCGCAATTGTTCACATTGCGGGCAATTTTTAGCCATTTTGGCTGGGAATTGGAGGGTGAGAGTAGTATTGTATGAAATAATATCTCTCACCCTCCAATTCATCCTATGGCGCCGAAAAAATTTTGGTGAAATGCGACCACATTTCACCAAAATTTCTCGGCGCCATATAGAGAACTAGAGCCTGTGAGGTACTGATACTATCCATGTACCTCGCAGGCTCTAGTTCCAAGCCAAAATGGCTAAAAATTGCCCGCAATTGTTCACATTCCCATCTTTTGTTGGTAAGACGAAGAATATGAAATAAATTATGAAGAAGATAATGATGAATAAAATATCACTTTTTATATTTTTGACACGTAAAGTTGTCACTTTTCTGTCAAACTGTTTTTATCGTTTTCGTATATAACATGCTAAACACACCTTTGGACACCCTATATTTAATAATTTCAAGATGACCATTAGCTGATGCATGATGGAGCATAGTATTTCCATTTTTATCCCTACCATTTATATTGTCGCTAAAAGAGCTAAGAAATTCAACAATATTAAGATATCCTCTAATTGCAGCATTTATAAATGGAGTATTTCCAAAATTATCTTTAGTATATTTATCCGCACCAGAAAAATATAGAAATTTAACAACTTCAAAATGACCATTAGTTACTGCACATAATAGTGGAGTATTTCCTGAAGAATCTTTAGCTTCTATATTAGCTTTGGCATTAATAAGGATTTTAACTACTTCAAGATGACCATTTAATGATGCCCAGTGGAGTGGGGTTTTCTTCTCTAAACCCCTTGGCTCTTTATAACAATTGCACTCAACAAGAGATTTAACAAGGTTTAGGTTTCCTTTTTCACATGCAACGAGAAGTAATTGGTTTTGATGATCTTTCGTAATATGTTTTTTATATACTATTGAAAATGTTTTTTGATCACCATTGGATGAGCATTTTGTCAAAAATTCGTATATGCAGTCAAAATCATTAAAATATTCAATAACTTCATATTTGCCTTCTTCTGATGCCAAATCAGCTGCTATTTTTCCATCATTATTCTTAGCTTTTGGATCAGCTCCGGCATCGATAAGATATTTAACGATTTCAAGATGACATTCTTGTGAGGCCCACATGAGAGGAGTATCTCCATTATTATCCTTAGCTTCTTTGTCAGCACCAACAGAGATAAGGTATTTAACGACTTCAAGATAATTTTCATATACTGCAAAAAAGATTGGAGTATTTCCGTATTTATTCTTTTCGTTTATATTGCAGCCACTTTCAATGAGAGATTGCACAAATCTGAGATTACCTTTGGCACAAGCAACATGAAGTACATTTCCCTCGGAATTATTTTCCTTTTTCCATAGACCTTCTTCGCAAGCTTTTGAAATGATGTTTTGATTACCCTGTGCTGAATTTTCATCAAGGAAAGTGTAAACACTTTCAAAATCATCAGAATTCTTTAATTCTAAAATTTTTGATAAAATCTCCTCACTGACTTCAGGGACTTTATTCTTTTTCGTTTTTCTTTGGAAGAGTCGCTTGAATATGCTCGTTTTTTCTTTGCCTTGTTTAGATTGCGATTCATTTGGTTTAACTTCTTTCTGACTCATTTAATTATTTTAATATCACAAATAATTGAATTCAATATAAAATTGTTAAGATAAAAGATATTATATAATAATATTAATTTGATACAGTACATGCTAATTAATGAAAATGTGTCAAAATCAATATCATTCAATTTAAATGGTCGAATTTCTCAAAAAATAAAATGGTAACTTAAATAATTTTGTGAGATATTCTCTTCATTTTTTACATAAATGACGACCTTACTTTATAATAAATCAAATAGGACTACTATTTCTCGATTCGAAATAATAAATTTTACATGTGCTATCTCTATGTGAATTATATAATAACTTTATATGTAGATACCAATTTAATATTTATTTTCTAAATTTTAGAGTTTTTCCGACATAATTTTTTTTAAAAAAATGAATTTTCAAATAGAAAAATCTAAAAAATAAACTTACAAGCAAAAACGATGGTTTACAATTCTTGTGAATTTGTATGCTTTGAATTTACAAACACTTAACATAATATAGAAAAATGAAGTCTAAGCCGAGACTTCCAAATGTTAGTGGCCCAACTTTGAAACACAAAACGGTTTGATAATGGAATTTTTTTGAGAAATCTAAGAAAAAATTGTATAACTAAACTTTTTTCATATATATTTTGTCGGTTCTCAAATTATTTTGAATACAATGAGAAAGCATTCAATTTTGTAATCCATTCAAACAAGAATTCAAAAACAGTGTAATTTTTGAGACGAGGTGAAGCGGAGTCTAAAAATATATGCTGTTTTTTTTAAAAAAAATTGGACAAAAAGCCTAAAACTGTTAAGAATTCATATTTTACTCGTATATATGAAAATATCGATCTAATTTTCTCTTATTTTATCAATAAGGATTTCCGTTAAATAAAAAGAAGATTCTTTCATTTAAAAAATACCTTATTTCTTTTGGAGATTTATGTCTAAATATATATAGGAATGCTTTTGGATTAAAAGAAATATAATTATCCAAGATGTATTTCATGTCTTCAAAGCTACAATATGTTAAAACTTCTTTTAACTGACCTGTAAATATTTTTCTTTCATAGAAAAATTTCAATATTTCCATTTTTGGAAAGATTTTTTTTTGTATGACTAATTTGAAAATTCAAACTTTGTAAAAACATTTCTTTCTGTAAAATCATATACCTTTTCATAAAAAAAAAAAAAAAAAAAAAAAAAAAAGGTAGTGGGGCTTCCAGGGGCTGCGCCCCTTCTAGCCCCTAAGAAATTTTGCCCAAGACCCAAGAGGAGGACCGAACCCCAGCCGACCAGCCGTTGACTTTTTTGTAGAGCACTCAAAATAGTATAACTTTGTCCGGACAAGTAAGGGTCTATCGTCGCTACAGGAAAAGTTACGGGCGTTCCAAGGAAGTATACTTTGAGAAGCCTTTTCTCCCTTATAGAATGAGATAGGACGGTTATTTTACAAAACTGACAACACTTTGACCGAGTAGTTTTTTGTGCTGAACAAAAAGTGTCATATAAA